GCAGTTTTAAACTACAATGCTTCCAGGTAGTCCCCAAAATGCAGGGTTTGCAATTAAGCGAATAAAAATATATTGTTTTTGCTCGGAAACGTTTTCACTGTTAAAAGGCTGCAAATTATGTATTATTAAATTATAAAATATTATATATAACTAAACAACGAATTTCATTTTTTCTGTGAGAAAATGGAAATATAGTTGCTCTTTGTGGTTGATTATATGATGCTATTTCTTCTTAACTGAAGGGGTTGAGACTGATAATATGATATATAGCCACCAATCTTATTTCTGTACTTGTTATACACAGGAAAATAACCAAAATGTGTGCCATTTTAGATATTTCTCAATTTGCATAATCACTTCGTAGTCCATTTTAAACGATTCGTTCTATGAACATTGTATCATAACTTTTTTGGGTGCATTGTATAATCTTTATATATATTATAAATAAAGGTAATCTTGATGCTGTCCCGAATCCTTCAATTTTCTTGATGCATTTTAGAAGCCATTTCCTGCTTCAAGGAATGAGAAGACCTTTCTCTGAGCACTGGTTGTGGACAGAGGGGGACCGCTTATACCGGCGGACTCTCGGTTAAACAAGGCAACACGTGAATGTTGTCTTACGACACTTGCACCGATGAAAAAACTGGTACTCGTTTTGGCACAAAAATCGTTAGTGTCTACCAGAAGAGCGAACTATTCCAAACATTAGACAAACGTTTTTTGAAGAAATTTCAAAATTATTTAAAAACTATATTTTCAGGACGAAAATAAATTTTATTTTCTACATTCACTCCAACAGATTGAGGAAAGTATTTTTCAATGAATTGTGGAAAATATCCATCACAGCATAATCTTCTAAGCTGTATAACAGCGCGCGGTGGTAAATGGGGGAATTCAAGAAGCTTAGCTGTCGTGTCAACAAGCACGCAGTATGTATTTAATTTTGTTAATTCTGAGCTTCGCACAGGGAATGACTATAAAAGAAATAGAGACATGGAAATACATTTCAATGTTCTTGTAGGGTTTTTTTTTCTTACATGGTTTCGCTTTGTCGATGTTCTCAGCATCTGATACTGCAGTGCATCCACGAGCTGTCCGCATGGTCTTCTTCTGTTCTCCTTTGAGTCTTTGAGGCTCAGTCTTCCCCGCGCCCAGGTTTCTTCTAATCTCCCCCGGAGGGCGGTCGTTTTTTCTTTCGCCGTCCGTCCTTCCGCCGTAGTCTTCGCCGTCACCCTGGCGGGGGGCCCTCACGAGGTGCTACCAGCCGGCGCCAGCTGGACCAAGGTTTTTTAAAGAGGTGTTACTCCTCTATCACTCCCCACTTTCTCCTGGCTTGTGACAGGCAGAGCCTGGCGCCCGTGGCTGAAGGGTCCAGGTTGGCGGGGTTGAACGCGATGTCCTCTTGCTGTATGTTCTGCGTCGCTTTCGTTGGTTTGTACTGCTTGAGTCTCACGACTACACGAGATCCTTTTGTATTTCATGTTATTTGCCTTTTATACTTTCAATTAATTAGTTCCATCCATCTTCATTTTTATCAATAATTCATTTTGGCTTCAAAGTGTTTGTCTTTCGACTTTAAAGAGTTATTTTTATTCACGCTTAGCAAACTATATGTAGTTTAAGTAAAAGAGTAAAAGTGGGTCTAATGAAACAATTTTATATTTTTTTTGGTTTTAGACTACTAAAAAATAAATGATTTCGTAAAGGTAAAGATAACTACGCTAAACAAAACTGTGTGTTTTAAAATTCATATACTTCCTAAACTCATTAATGTAGCACACCAACAAATATAAAATGGTTGCGTTATACCATGTAGCCTACGCGGGTAACTCGAGAAAAAATCATAAAAATACAGTAATTATCTTATATCAGCCTAACATGTCCAATTATGCACGTTCATTAAATATAAAAGAAAATACACACCCTTTAAAACAAAAATTCTCACTCAAAAGAAAGTAAAGAAAAAAAGAAAAATATTATTTAATTTTGCATTAGGCGAATCTAAGTATAAAGAGAACATCTCTTGCTCGTTGTCTTAAAAAATGCACACTTATAAACTATAAAAAGTAGTCGATCATACCAGAAAGTCTACAATAAACTCTAAAACTGGTCCTCCACAGAGAAATTTACGCTATTTAAATTGTCCTTTACTTTTTTTGTTATTTAATATCGCATCAACATCTATATCACTAGCGATCACTATTGTTTTTAACATTGTAGGTAAATGCGAACTACATGAAATTATATGGTGGTGATGGGGTTTGAAAGGAGGAACACAAATACAATCACGCCCGAGGCGGAACTCGAACCTGCGATCCTTCAGCCCAAGATCGTTACGGTACTACTGTCTTCACAATCTCGGCCACCAGATAGGCGTTTCTTTACTTTTATAGCTGAATAAAGCGGAATAATATCTTACGAATAAATGTCCTAATTCATGACACATCGATTAGACACGCACTTTTCAAAACAAACGTTGCAAAGCACCGCCGCAGATTTGATAATGTTCAACAGGCACCATTAAGATCTTCGGCGACCTGCAGAATATTACCAAACTGCAACGGCCCTCTAATGACCTATAATAGACACGTCAATACCTATTGTATGTGTGACAAACTGCATGAATGTACGTGCATGGACTCAAAGGTTCTGGCAAAGGGATTGTGACCTTTAGGATTAGTGTAATCTGTACAAATAATATTTGAATGACTGAACATCGAGTTCTCACAGTTCAGAGAAATCCTAGGCCTCGAAATTGCAGGCCTAGGTGCGGCCTGGCAGTGAGAGGCGTGGCGGGTCGTGGCATGGCGGGCCGTGGCGAGGC